TCAGATTATTATCAGTATCAGGACACAGTTAATCTGTCAGCACATCAGCAGATTATTATCAATATCAGGATACATTTAATCTATCAGCACATCACCATCAGATTATCATCAGTATCAGGATATATTTAATCTGTCAGCACATCAGCATCAGATTATTATCAATATCAGAACATATTTAATCTGTCAGCACATCATCAGATTATTATCAGTATCAGAACATATTTAATCTGTCAGCACATCAGCATCAGATTATCGTCAGTATCAGGACTTTGAACCTGCTCACAGTCAGGTCTGATGGGCTGCAGCGCAGCTCTGCAGGTTAAGGAGCATTTAGCTTCAGATTGGTCATTTGCTGACACGCCTACTGGATTGATTGACAGGTCGTGTCGTGGATCAGACTCATGGATAAATAAATAAATAAACTAGAGCTGCAAAAAATATATAAAAATCTCGTACGACTTTATTCTCATAATTTTATGTCTTTTGATGATTTTTCTTAGCGTGGCCCTAACGCTCCGCCGTAGATACGAAACAACATCCAGGAACATTTTCACGTGTTTCGTCTTTGGACCGAGACAAAAACCGGAGAACTTCAGGAGAGAAGTGAAAACCTGCAGCGTCTCTTCGGGACTTCGACATCAAAGACGCTGTCGTCGGCGTAAAGCAACATTTTCTATCTTTGGTCTCAACGAGCGTTTCTAAAATAAAATCAAATAAACATTTAAAGCTTAAATATGAAGAAAGACGAGAACGGGACGGGTTGCTCCTTTTTGGCCAACGATTGTTTTAATTTTAATAAAAAGTTTATGTTTTATCAGAGAGCTTCACATTATTCAAAAACTTAAAGATCATGAACAAATATTGAGTTATAATTTGGAGTGGTGGTGGCTGAGAGTTCTCCTCCGAGCACCCACAGACCCCGAGGGACCGTTTTACAGCTGCTGTCCAGATGTGGCCAAAGAAAACTTTCATCAGAAACGAGGACTTCAGTTTGGATGGAAGGCGGCCGACGGAGGTTCTGATCATTTTCAGCTTCGAGCGTTTGAAGTGGCTGAAGGTTTCAGAACTTTATGAATATTCATAAAATCTGTAGACGTGAAAACGTGTGATGTTTATTAATTAAGAACGACAAGAACGAGAAGGAGAAGAAGGAGAAGAACGAGAAGAAGGAGAAGAACGAGAAGGAGAAGAACGAGACGCGCAGCTTTCAGCTCGTCTCAACGTGGCTCCCCTGCCGTGGTTTCTGGGCCCGTTCTGTGAGGTTCTGTTGGGTCAGGTTCTGATGGGTCAGGTTCTGTTCTGTGAGGTTCTGATGGGTGAGGTTCTGATGGGTGAGGTTCTGATGGGTCAGGTTCTGATGGGTCAGGTTCTGTTGGGTCAGGTTCTGATGGGTCAGGTTCTGACGGGTCAGGTTCTGACGGGTCAGGTTCTGACAGCACCGGCAGGTTTCAGACCTTCAAAGGTCCCTCTCAGAGGATTAGGTGGACTCTCCAGAACCACGAGACGGGCCCAGGAAACCACGCGGCTCCACGTGTCCTGGAGACGAGACGTCTAGAACCAAATTTTATTTGAACTGTTTTGAGTTTTGCAGCGTCAGATGTTTCCAGACGAGTTCTCTGGACCTGTAAATCTTCTGGATCTAAATCTCTGCAGCGCTCCCTCAGAGGGAACCTCCTCCCTCTTGTGTCAGACCGGGCGGCAGCCCCCCCCTCCCGGGCCGGTCCAGATGTTCAGCGGGGGTCAGCTCTCCTCCAGCCAGGACGGGTCGTCCACGCTGCAGCTCTCCAGCTTGGCGGCGGCCTGCTGCAGGTTCTGCTCCAGGAAGCTGTGGCAGGAGAAGCAGTGAGCGGCGACGGCGCCGTGCAGCAGGAACAGCTGCTGCTGGAGGACTTTGACCTGCAGAGACACCGCACGTTGGTTCTGCTCCACCTAACGGCTCAACCTTTCCCGACTGTGACCCACGAGGGTCCCTCACCCGGTTCTCCTCCAGCAGCTGGACTTTGACGGACAGGTCGTCCCGGACCTTCTGGTACCGCTCCCTCTGACCCTGGAAGACTCTCTGGGCCTGCTCCAGTTTGGGCACGGTGGTGGCGTCCCGCGGGCCCATGTTCAGCTCCTCCAGGTCCACCCGGTACGCGTCGTACTCGATCCTGGAGGTCAGGGGGTTCAAGAGAAACAGAAAAGTCTCCGTTTGTCATCGAGTTTTTTAAATGTCGTGATTCTGAGTCTGTTCAGAGCCGCACCGATCACTGGGCCGACCCGAGGACGCCGCCGCCACGAGCAGCCTGGCCACGAGACGGGAGTTACCACGGCAACGTACTCCACCAAAAACAACCCAAAAACCATTAATGCGCACGAAGAATGATTCAAATCCAACAAAACCACGTTCTTTAAAAAGAACCGCAGGAGGTTCCTCTACGACAGACCGCTGGTTTGGGTCAACCGGACCCAAAATGGCCGCCACACCTACAGCTTGGCGTGGCGGTAGATGACGGTGATCTCCAACACGTACATGGACGGCTAACAGCTAAACGCACTGCGGAGCAGGAACCTTCGTCGTGTCTTCAGGAGTTTATTTACTGTAAGTTCTGGACTACTGGGCGCACCACAATATAAGCCACGCCCACTAAATAAAACAAAATCGTATAGAGCGCGCTGAACTGGGAGGGGTGACCTGCGACCTCTTCAGTCATTTCATTGGTCAGATTTAACCTTTATTTATACAGGTAGTCCGAGTCACGAGGACAGCGTCTGACTACATTTCCCAGAATGCCTCACCGACAGCTCTGCCGGCTGTGGGAGCAGAGGGTCGGAGGCGGCGAGCGTCGGACCCACCTGGCAGCTTCGTACTGCTTGGCGTTGATCATGGTGTCCTCCATGGTTTTGTTCACCAGCGTGTTCATGTCGGACGTGAAGGAGCTGACGGCCGTCGTCAGGGTTTCTCCGCTCTTCGACAGGAACTTCTGAGCCTCAGCGTTCAGGTTGAACTCCACCTGATGTTTGGGTCACAAACTCACATCAGTTCTTCAGGGAAGTCATTTTATCGGCTCGGAGCCTCTTTATGTTCAGTAAAACCTCCAGTCGAACCGCAGCGGAGAACGTCCTCCAGGACTTACGTGGAGCTTCTGCGATTGGACGCTGAGCTCGGTGAAGACGTCTCCCAGGGACTTCTGGGTGACGGCGAACTGAGCGAGCTGACTGGACAGCGTCTGAGCCAGCTTGGTCATGTGATCGTAGCGCTGCCGATCGTCTCTGAGAAGCTCCAGCCGCGGCTCGAGCTCCAGGTCCACCGTCCTGGAGCCGCGGCCGAGCTTCTCCGCCAACGCCTGCCGGGTGCACTGAGGAGGAGACAGATGTTCACTGATCAGCTGCCATCAATAAACAGGTCAGTTAGGCTCCGCCCACATTATATTTGCTGACCTGTTCACTGAGTACCTGTTACTAATAAACAAGTCAGTTAGGCTCCGCCCACATGATATTTACTGACCTGTTTACTGATTACCTGTTACCAATAAACAGATCAGTTAGGCTCCGCCCAAATTATATTTGCTTACCTGTTCATTGATCATCAATAAACAGGTCAGTTAGGCTCCGCCCACATGATATTTGCTGACCTGTTCACTGATTACCTGTTACTAATAAACGAGTCAGTTAGGCTCCGCCCACATGATATTTACTGACCTGTTCACTGAT